TCCTTTCATTTCCATGAATTCCTCAGGCAGATACAGATTATCCCCATCAACTCAGATTGCAGGCCACTCCATTGAGACAGTCAGTTGAACACTGACTTTTGTAATGCTCATGGTGACAGAATCCAGACACCATCAGGAATATGTACTATTCTTAAATATTGCTTTGCAATCCTAATCCTTTTTGCTTTTGTTTAACCTTTCACAATTGGCTAAATTGCTATTTTTCTTGCCAGATTTTAGGACACAACAGGAATAGAGAGCACCATGGTCAGTATAAATAGATAAGATACCATGCAAAGAATGAAACAGCTTACCTTTATCAGCTTAAACAATGTAATGTCATGTCTTATAATTAGTGACATCTTCTCTTAAGCTACTGGTTCCTCTGTAAATCAGCTTGACTGAGCTCCTGATATTTTTAAAGTTGCTTGACAAAAACGAATCTTATCTGATAGATTTGGTTAATACTGAATAATACTGTTCACAAGAAAGATTAACTGCAGGTGACAGGAAAACCACATTACAGTTTCCTGAGATGTCCTGCTCACCTGTAGATGTTATGTAAATAGGAAACAAAGTCAAGAGCAGACTTTATGCTGTGTCTGCTTCCTAATTAAAAACTCCCTACAGAGACCTCTCTTATACCTTGCTTACTATCATTTAGTTTAAGCAGGCTTTTGGTGTTTCATTGGCTATTTTCTCCTTTGCCTGTTTTGCTAATTTGATAGATGGGCTTTGGAACTATTTTCATCCTTATAATTTTAACTGATCCTATTACATACTAGCACTTATTTTAAGGATATTACTGAATTTTTATGACATAAATTGAACATATCAGTTGTTTAGATGTGAATATGATTATACCAATCCTAATAACATATTGTGCAACTTGCACATAAAAAAATGGTTTTCTTCCTTCCTTTTCACAATACTTCAGTACAGAAAATATCTTTTTCCACTGACCATGCAACAGACTAGCAACATATGGTGTGAAGAGAACATAAAAGGCATCAAATTATATGTCAATCACTGCTATGATTCTAATGTAACTTCTGAAATAATACCAGTTATCTATGTAACAAAGTCATATCTATGTAATTTTTGGCCAAGTCCATTCCTGTAAACCACTCTGGTATAAAAATAATGTGTAACTAAATATCTAAGAATAAATACCCATGAAATTCCATACCCAAGTATGGTTGGTAGAGACTGAACGAAGAAAAGAGAATATGGCTTGCTTGTGCAAACAACTTCAAAGAAAAAATTTGTACTCATAGTTATTATTGAGTACTACTACAGTCATGGTACCTTTTACAAAAAGCAAGAGTGTATTTTCAAAAACGTTATCATTTTGTGATTTTGCAGAAAGGAAGGCAATTTTTGCTCGAAATAAGGCCAAGTTCAATATGAATAGTATTGGTGCTCAATGTATGGTGTAATTGTCACAACACTGTCATCTATGCATTGGCCTAGTTCATATGCATCAACAAAACTCTAGATCACTGCAGGACAGGCTTAATGCTGCATTACCTCCCTCCACTGAACCCTCAAGAATTCCTGCTTTGCCCATGACAGTAAGCGACTCCTGTTCAGGAAGCCTCAGGGTTAAGCATCTCCCACTTGTGATGGAAAGACTTGATGGTAGGAAACAGTACACTTGTCTGATTGTGATAATCAGACATGTGTGTAAAAAATGTGTAAAAAATCCCCGGATTGTTCTGATGTGCAAACTGGGGTGCTGTGTCTCATTTTTTCCATCATATCATTATTACTAGAGTATAACAGACCAGACTTAACCTACAAAAGCACACGCTGTGTGCAATTACATGTAGGGCAATCCTGATGCCTATTTCTGTACAGGAAAAGTGTTTTTAAGGAGTATTTATGCTTTTCCCTGCATACCACTTCTTTGCTACAACTGTTCTCCCACAGCAGCTTTTCTACCCATGGGCTTACAGAAATGTATTTGTGTAGGTAAACTAAATGCCCTTTTCCAATCTGTTTCTACAGCTCCTCTGCTGAAAATCCCCCATTCAAATGAAGGTCACAGGATAAAGGAGCTATTGGGGGTTAAACTGCATCTAACAAGTAACCTGGCATTCAAATGCATACTTGCCTCTTTGAAATCAATGGGATACTGAAAAGCCTGACTTTGGTTGAATTGTGCCCTTATTCATACATAGTACTTCCCATGATACAGTGACCATCTACTCATGACAGATCATCACAGGAGATCATTTTCTACTGGGAGAATTATGATATAGACACTTCTACTAAAGGCATTTTCCCTCAACAAAGCCTGCCAATTTTGATCCATGCATCATTTGGAAGTATACAGAAGCGAGCAGTGTACCAACTGCTCACCTGCTTATATTTTATTAAACAAACCAATGATGTTTTGGCATTGGGTTGTTATTCATAATGTTCAAATATGGAATTTTCAATTACTTAAGGAGAGAGTAACAACCCATAGATTTCATTTGTGGTTTGTTCACATTCATTTGGTTCTGAAAAACCCATGAACTCAGTCATAAGGGACAGCAGAGGGGTGTGTGTGAAAATCTAAAAAAATCAGTTCCCATAATGCACTTTAGGAGCTCAGGATCTTATACATGTAATACTAGACCAAAAGAAAGATAATTTTCCCCATGGAGCATTTAGCGATAACTTGCCAGGAAAAAAAATCAGTTAAACATTTCCCACTGGGAAATATTTAATAGGAAACTATGCAGCCAGACCTACTCATTATCCTCATGTCAGCAGCTTCATGATCTATTCTAAAGAAGAAAATGTATTAACAGAAACAAGAAGCTTTCTGACAGAACTCACAATGGTTAATAGTCAATTGCCAAATTTTATATTTTGCTTTAAGCAACAAAGAAGAAATTGTTGAAAACATCAATTTGCAAAGAAAGGAACCTCTGAAAGCAGCTTATTACAAAACTGCTTGTGTGAAAGTACATCTGAAAGTGATACTCAGTTGAATACCTTCCCTGTGTTTCAACTTTTAACAAAGAAGAAGAAAACAAATGGCTAAAACCAGTGAGCTGTTAATTTCCGAGAGGTACGTTGATAAAGAAACTGAGGAAAATACAACCTTTTCTAAAGCCTTGTCTCACTATCATTTTTTGAAAGGGCTTTTTGCAGGGAAGGGGGTTAAGTGACAAAATTTCACTCTAGTCCCATTGGCAATATCTGTCATCCTGTATTTATCAGATGTTATATTGTGCTTTAACAATGCATTTAAGCATTTCAAAAACAAATGTGCTTTTAAAACCCTTAATTGTAGAAAGTTTGGGCTGTATCTCAGTTAATTATTTATTGGCTAAAGTATTAAAATGTCCTTGGCTTCACCTTATGCACAAGCATCCCAGCTGGTCATTAACTATCTGGAAAAGGCCCAACATTTTCTAGTGTCATTAATCTACAAACATGTATGTTTTCAGTTCTTGCTTTTTCAGACTAATTCACTTCCATGCTGTTATATTTAGACTAAGTGTTACCTTAAAACACTCAGAAAATTAAAATGTTTTAGAGTCTTGGCTGCTTATGAGTAGTTTATATTAACTGGATAAAATGCAAGCTAAGTAGCAATATTAATTACAATTGCATTTGTCTCATTAATTTTTGGAATTAAAAATGCGGTCTGTTATAGCTGTACCTAACTTACACGCATGTGCTTGTACTTGGTGAAACTGGATCACACTGTGATTCAGTAACCAAAAGCTAAGGCTCAAAACAACCCATTATCAAAATGAATTTGAATCAATGTGTGATAGTAGAAAGACACTAAACATCCTATTTCCTTCTTTGCGGGCACTTCAGGGAAAGAATTACCCAAAATGAATGCAAAAGGAAAGTAACCAGTGTTGATGCATGCTGGCACTCCTGTATTGTATGCAAAATGTTATCATTTGAAGTCCTACTACATTTTCAGTGAGCACTTATGCATGGAGATGTTATGAAGCCATTGTAAAGTTTCTGCAGAGAAGCACAAGTAGGATTTCTATCTGGTAATGCTGTTCACAGATTCCACTATGATAAAATTCCTATAGATACACGAGTGTTCATTCATATGGTGTTCACTGTATCCTGCTTTTCAAAAATACATTAATGCAAAGTATTACTCATTAGGTCAAAATCAACTCAAATAAGCTTCCAAGTGACATCACCAGAATAATTTAGAAAAACCTGCCTTTCGATAAATGTGTCTGTCAAAAAGTCTGAGTGAGTTTTCCCCCTTTCTCATTGCAGAAAACAGAAGACAGCTGGAGAAAGAACACATGTAAACTAGTGTAAGCTAGGCAAACCTAATGATTTCCTAATTAAAAAAGGAGATATTATCTTCTCATTAATTGGCAAGCTAATTGACCAAAACCCTATAGTACCAGAATATGAGTCCTGGGCTTGGAACTTAGGGGCCTATAGTACACCAAAGTCTCCACACTCTAAAGCCCAGCCTCAAAGTTGTCAGTTCTGCTTGGCTTGTTCAAATACTGTACTCAACGACAGCTGTTGGAAATAATACATTAGAACAGCTGCTGTGATAGACACAAAGGACCTGGAATTTTAATTGGCCTCAACATTGTATTGTTTATTTTCCAAAACTTGAAAAGAAAATATCCAAGGAACTAAAAAATACCCAATAAGACTAAGTGATGTTTGCCTTCTGGCAAGCAAGGTTAGGTTTTGTTTTGGCTACACAATTTTCCTTGCATTGTCTTTCTGAAATGACTGATCACAAGCAAATAAAGAGCAGCAGGAACCCTCCAATGCATAAGAAAAAGGGTATTAACAGCAAGAAAAAATAGTAAGGAAGTCAGTAAATAATCCCTTTCAAACACTGGCTGGGAGCCAAGGAGGATCCCACAGTGTCTCAAGATTTAGTCAAAAGGAAGCTTATTCAGAGGCCTTCAGAGTGTGCCAACTCAAAACAAAACTGTTCATTATGGCCAAGATTCTTTTTAGAAGGGGTGGGGAAGAAGGGGAAGAGAGCTTACTTTCAGCATCAGCACAGAGTAGGCAGCACAGGAGCACTACTACTGGCCTGGCTATATGCATCATCCGACAGCTTGGCACCAGCATGCTTTGGCGGCTTCAGTCACTGGCTTAGAAGCCACTGCGTGTCTCTCCAATCTGAAATTCCAGATGAAGATTTTTCAAAGCCTAGTAAGAACGAGAAAGAGAGAGAAAATGTTTAGAATGTTTTTGCTTCTTCACTTCCAAATGCATAAAGACATAATAAAATGATAGAAGCATAAGATTCCAGTTGTGAGTGTTGCTATCGTTGGCAAATGGTTCAAGAGCAGCCTACTTAACAGTGTTTATGAAGAGTATAAGGCCAATGAGCACCTTTCCCAAGCCACTTTGAAATCTATGTTATAATCAACAGTTCCCATGTGCAGAACCACTTTTTCTTAGCAGCATGCCATGAGAATGACCTGTCATTCCTAATGAGGTCCTACTTTAATGCTTCAACAGGAATAAGCCATAAAGATAGTCTAAAGAAGGGTTTAGGAGGATTCACCTCCAGGACAAAAGCCTGATAACAAACAACGTATTGGAAGCTGATTTCCTTGCACTGGGTAAGAATGACAGGGCTAAATTTGTTTCTCTCCTTAACACACTATATCTGCAAGGCTACAATACTGGTGTTTGTTGATTATTCTAAGAAAGTTTTATCTGGTTTGGCATCTAAAATTCCCTCTGCCCAATCAAAGTTACTTCTTCCTCTCTGATTTACCACGGTACGTGAATTATGTAATTCACAAATAAATTATGAATAAAGATTCCATATTCCAGTTCAGTCAGTTTAATTTTATATCTTGTATAAGAACCAATGAATAATACAGTGTGAGCATCTGCCTTTAAGAAGAAATCAATTTTGCTCTGCTATATTCACTCCATCCAAGGCTACATTAGAAACAAAACATGAAAACACATCCCCTCCAACAGGAAATTCTAGAAATATCCCAGAATAGAACTATGCCAATAACATAATTCTGCAGTTTAATTGTGGCTTTCTAAGCAGTAGCAGGTGATACGCTTTCGCAGTCTGAAAGAACCATAATACAAAGAAAACACTATTCTTATCATGATGTAAGGTTTGCTAGAATGCAGAAAACATTATGGAAGAAAGAAATTAGTACTAATTCTCATTCTACTGAAGAGATCTTTGCAAATGCATAGGTGGTATGAACAGTCTGTTTTGCAATACAGAATGACAGAAAAAGTTTGCTTGAAATAATAAAAAGAGACACAAATGTTAACCTATAATAAATCTTCTTCAAAATCACCTCTTTATTCCTTTGTTGCGACTCAAACAACACAGACCTAAGAAACCTTTGTAGGCAATATACTGAAAGTACTAGCTCTCTGCTTTCACTGCTACCATCTTTGTGCCAGCATTTCAAATGACAGCAAAGTCCATGAAACATCAGTCCTGTCGGACTCAATTTGTGTCTGTGCAAGCGTATCAGAGCCAACTGCTGCAATAATGACTCCAATGCTATCACAGAAGATGGATTTTTTTTTTTTTTGCATGGACCCATCTGAACAAGTGATGAGAAAGGATCAAACTATTTCCAGATACTGATGGTCATATGGATAGAAATTATTTTAATACCAGTAGCACAAAGTTTTTCAAATAGTCCCTTTCTAGAATGCACACATAAATTAATGAGTACATAAACGTTTCTGGAAAACAGGGGAGAAAAAGCCTGTAAGCTGCATCAAAGACCTTTTAAATCAAGCTATTGGTCTAATGTAGCATGGGCTGGGGCAAAATGTTCTCCTCCTCAGTTTGAAATTAGCAGTGAAGCTTTAGTAGAACAAAACAGAACATAATGTAACTTTTTCCAAAAGGATGTACTCAGTACAGCCCCTGGCAGGTTTCAGTCTCTTGCTTCCCAGCTGAATTTTTATTTATTTAGCTTAGACTCAACCCTTGTCAGAAGATGATCTTGCATTCTCATATACAGAATGAACTTAGTAATGAACATAAAACCATTTCCCCTCTACAGCCTTCTTTAGGAGACATAGCAAACTCATGCTCAAAAAATTTCTAAGTAATTATAAGTTTGCTCTGAAAAGAAGTAACCAGAGATGTGTAATTCTTTGGCCCACATTTGACGGATTTGTATGTGACCTATTTTGCACACCATGAATAATTAGCCACGAGGAGTTATCTTATCATCTAAACTCAGAACACTTCTTCCATTATGGATTATTTTTTGGAGAAAAGCCAATTTGGCTACCACGGTTTGTTCCGTGATAGGTTTTCACGCCATTCCAATGCAGAACAACATTGTGGGTTGCGGGGACTGACTGGCAGGCCATTTGGCAGAAACAGCGATACCTGTGCCACTCTTCCCTATCTTGCTCATGTCACCTCTGGTGCTGTCCTTCTGCCACTGCACAAGAGGCCCTTTGGGAAGGCTGTCACTAGAGCTATTGCACTTGCTTATTCTAGAATTCTTTTTGTTATTTTTGTCAATCTTGAGCAAGTGCACTCCAACAGCTTCCTGATAAATATTGACCAACCCACCTTGTCAATTTCCTTGCCTGATTCAGCTGCCAAAGAGTACAAAACTGACAAGGAAACTAACAAAGCTAGACTACATATAGGATAATTTGGCAGTTGCCGGTGGCTAATTGCCAAGTTGTCTATTGGTAAAGGGAAAGGAAAGCAGCAAAAGAGGGTGCCACAAAAGCGTGTGTATGCGTGTATGGGAAATATTCCAGCTTAGCAATGCAATTCTTTCAATGTTAAGTGTTGAACTGAGAAGCTCATTGAGTTCTCCACCTTTTCAATATTTTCCAAAGTCTACAACTATTACAAAATGGGAAACTATTAACCCCCCGCGGCTTTTTAAGGCTATTTTTCAGAGCAGTTACTGCAGGTGTGCAAATTTTAAATATTCCTAAATTTATTTTTAGGATTCTCAGGATACTCAATAATAACAGCAGTTTTAAGATTCTAACTTTTTAAAAAGGGAATGGCAGCAGACAAAATAGGGTAGCATTCAAAGCAAGAAGGAAAGAAGTGGGACTCTTCTGAGAAGGGCACTGGGATATATGCTGGAACTGGCAGGGAAATTGAGTGGAAAGCAGGGAGGGAGCAGCCTATAGAATAAGCCCCATGATCTGTTGGGCATACCATGCTTTTTTCTGTGAATAACTGAGCCATTGAGGTTAATTCAAGGGTATGATGTCTGAAGTTGCCCTATGGTTTACTTGAGTGAGTTAGAAAACAATTATTTCACAGTTTATGTTCACTGATAGCTCTTGCAGTTATTGGGGCAATAAATTCTTCTTGGGTTTTAACAAATCCCCTTAGGGTCTAGATAATTCCATGGGTATTCAAGAGGCATGCTTTCCTCTTTCTATTTGTTTAGGAAACTCTGAAATTCTATTTATCTAAATTTGTTTCTGGATTATGGAGTGCTGCATTACCAGGTGCCAAACCAAGGAAGAAGAAGAAAAAAACCTTAATTATTCCCCCCACCACCTGATTTTTGCAGTGTGAAAATTCTAATTCTAATTCTGGGATATTTCTAACCCGTCCAATCACTGTGTGTCTCTGAACGGCTTACAAAACAAGTTCAATAAATACAACAATATAAAAGATCATAAATATCCCAACAAAGATAAAACTAATAACCCACGACTGAAAATAAAAATTAAAATCTTTTAAACATTAAAATATTGGGTGAATAAAAAGTCCTGACCTGACGCTGAAAAGCATATAATGATGGCACCAGGCAGGCCCCTCTAGGGAACACATTCCATATCCTGGACTCCAATGCAGAGAAAGCCCTCCTCTGGGTAGCCCTCCTCCTAATCTACTTCAAGGAGGGTTCCTGGAGCAGGACCTCTGCTGCAGATCTTAAGGGGCAGGAGGGCATATAGGGAGAAAGACGTTCCTTTAGGTATCCTGGTCCCAAGCTGTTTAGGGCTTTATAGGTCATAGCACTTTATGGGTCACAGCACCTTAAAGCGGGCCTGGACTTCAACAGGAAGCCAGTGAAGCTGATGGTGGAACGGAGTTATATGAGAATAACACCCAGTCCCCGACAGCAACCTGGCAGTTCTATTTTGCACCATTTGAAGTATCTGGACCATTTTCAAGGGCAGTCCTACTTTCCATTCCTTTGTTCCTCTTGCTTCTCCCCTCACTCTACTCTAACAATGCACTATTGAGATTTGATAAAACAGATCGAAACGCAATCTTTGTGCCATTACACACGACCCCATCAAGACTTTTGTGTGTGATGGTTTTAAAAGGCTCAGGCATAGCTGTGCATGGATGTGTGTGTGCATGTCTTGGGATGACTGTATAAATGGTTATATTCAGTTCAGTAGTATAGTGGCAAATCCTGAAGTGCAGATACTCATCATGGCAGTCCCATAGCCATGCCTCCAAGGAGAATTCAGATACCTGGGCAGCAGTGTTCATCCGTCAACAAATTGATTCTCACCATCTTCATCTCCATCAGAAACAGGATTTCTCTAAAGCTAATGGGCCTTGATTGCCTATTCAGGACCATCCTAGACCACAATAGTTTTATTGCAACAGGGGAACAATGCAGTGTTGCTGGGAAAGAGCATGTTCCCAGCCACTGTGAGAATTGAACAAGGATGTCTCAGGGTGGTGGCAGATAGCTGCAGCATCTCTGCTAAAAGTCCCAGCAATGAATCACAGTAAGCCTTGGCTTCCCCACGTCAACGAAGTATTTTATGCATTATATGCCATGTTACCTTTGCGTAGCAGGGCATTTTATATCAGTAAAATACCATGTAAGAAGTATGTTTTCTCCACCTCTCTATCTCTCTCAGCTTTCATGAAAATGTTTCTGCCTTCAACCCGTTTTGAAAACACACTATATGCCACTCAATATCTGCCAAAATCGTGTGAATAAAAAGCTGCATTAGAAAATTTTACACACTTTGGCCTCATGTTTTTGTTTTAAATCATGGGGTGTTGGGACTGTTCTGGAACATGCAAGTGCACTGTCTCTGGCTCACCCACCGCTTTCTACTCTGGATCCTGTTTCTCAGGAAGAAATTTCAAGGAAACTATTTGTTGTGCGAAACTAGAATTCTGCGTTGTTGAAGAACGAGCAATCAGAATGTGAATTCATGATTTGTTGATAAATAAAAACTTA